TTTGGGCGGTGTGAGCATGTGCTTGGTGGGCGTGCCGACAGTGCCGGCAGCGCCTAATTCATTGATTGATGTCTCTGGCAATTCACTGGTGGCATCGCTGGCAACAACTGTTGCTGCTGTAGTTGTTGCTGATGGCGCAGTTCCGGCAGTTGCAACGGGTGCGACTGCTGCCTCATTGAAGGGATCCGGATAGACGCTCGACTCGAACAGGTTGTTCACAGCTGTGGGAGCCACTCCAGTTGCTGCTGTCACTGCTGTTGCCGGCACAGTTGGTGCTGGTGGTGGTGCAGTTGTTGCTGGTGCTGGTGTGGGGGCTACTGCTGGCATTGCTGGAAAGTTTGCCTGGAATTGCTCGACCACGGCCTGTGGCTGCGGCGATGTTATATTCTGACGTGGCAGTGGACTGGGCGGTAGACCCAGACCCAATGCATTCTGGCCATGCACTGAACTGGAGCCTTTGGGTCGCGAACGTGGCGCCACACTGGTGCCAGCTTCCACTATAGATACGTTCTGCTGCGGCTTAGCTGCCTTGGCTGCGGCACTAATGCGCTTTGCCTCCGACTCAAACGGAGGCACCAACAGCTGGTCAAAATTGGGCATAGTGGATTTCTGCAAAACAAAATCCCATTAACATTTTAATCCTCCTCTATTGGTTAAACTGAACTTACATGCAAATTCTGCACGGGATTATCTTTACCCGCCAGCCGGAATGCCACTTCGCACACCTGCCAAATGTTTGGACGCCGTTCCATGTCCGTATCGAGCATATACTTAATCAATTGATGTATGCCACGAGAGTATTTGGAGTTATCTGGTATGGCGAATTGTCCATTCTGTATGGCCAGCGTGCTCTCGCCAAAGGGCAGGGTAAAGAAGCATAGCTTGTAGAGCATACAGCCCAGAGCCCAAATATCCGCTTTAGTTGTAATACTCTTCCCACTGTAAAGGTCAATCATTTCGGGTGCACGATACGATAGCGTTGTATACTTCTGTATCTCCTCCTCGACCACACTGACGCCATGCTGCTGAGGATTCAGAGTTTTGGCCGTGGCCGAGCCAAAGTCACAGAGTACGAAATTTCCAGCATCCGTTTGCAATATATTCTCGACCTTCAGATCCCGATGAATAATGGGCGTTTGGCAGTAATGCAAACGTGAGACGGCCTCGGCAATATCACAGAAGATGGTTAACACTTCCTGCTCGGTGAAGCCAACGTGCAATCTGCAATCAAATAAATACTCTATAGATACACGAATATTTTGCATATAAATTTTCACATACCTCGCATTCATCATGGCCAGCATGTGATGCTTGCAGTATGGCATCAGTAGCAGCACTTCGCACACTCCGTTTCCAGTTGACGTAATGCTCGAGTCCACATAACCGATGATATTTTTGTGTCCACTCAAATTGCTCTGCAATGGAATTAAAGGTTTTAGCAAATGTTCATATATTTTATGTATTATCACTTACGGCAATTTGTATTTCACGCTTGGCCACATTCAGATCGTGCTCATTATTGACGTACATTCGTTTGAGTGCGTATTTGGTGGCTGATGCACTGCCTCCGCCATTGCCACGTGCCAGAAATACCATGGCAAAGCCGCCTGCAATAAGGGAATTCATTCGTTATTAGTCATCCTTATAGATTTAAATCGATTGTGAAGTCTAGACTGTCTACAGCTGGCAAAAACAACATCAACTGAAGGCCAACAGGCAGCCAATGTTTGTATACTATAACACTGTGGAGTATGATTCTTAAGTTGTTAGACTATTCAAGAATAGTTTTGAATAGTCGAAAAGAATAACAAAACCAATATCTAAAAGTTAATGAAGCAAGAAGAGGATCAGTTGGATATGTAATTATACCAATAACAATAAATTTCATGTTAACAATAGTTAACATCAAATATCTGCACCAATAACAGACTACTTAAAGAAATGGAAGCTATTTTATCTCTATATATCAATAACAGGGAATTTAGCACAATATTTTATGCTGATAGTAAATATCTATACCAACTTATATGAACAATATTCCATAAATTTAAAATGTTATTAACTTTTTATTTACTTACGTCTGTTAAGCATTAGGACAGTTATCTTTTGTAAAAGTATTCAAAGTATTTTTACTTAATACTTTTGAACGTGAATTCATTTGTATATTTCAAATTGAAACCAATCAAGCCTTATCTACTTCTATTCTAGCTATGCCAGCTATATAGTGTATGGATATTTCATTCAAGCACAACAAACGGCGTTAATGTTAACATGTACCTCTGGCTCTATACCCCCAACCTCAGCCCGACCGACCAAGTAGTTTCACCCTTCCTTACTCTGCTGCCACTCCAATGAACGATAAAAGGCGACGTAATATACATACATACAAAATTAACATAATAGGTACATGTATACATTTGTACAAAGCTACTGAAGGTCACGTACAACAACAATAATAATAATAACAACAACAGTAGCAGCAACAATGACAAGAATAATAAAACATACACTCATACAAATCATTTAGGGAACCCACAAACAACAACAAATGCGACAAGCATGCGTGTTTGTACATATACATATATGTATATATATGTGTGTATGATTGTAATTGTAACTGTAGCAGTGCTTGATTTGTGTTCGACTTTTTAGTTGGCGTTTGTGAAATTATAAAGTCAAATGTTAATCAATGCTGAAGGTTGGCAGCGTATACATATCAAAAGCCAACAAAAACAATGCACAGTTGCAATTGCAATTTGTGACGTCAATGAAAAGTCGAATAAGAAACTGCCCAAAATAATGACTAAGAAAGATAGCGGTAAGCAAGCGTGGCTAACTCCTTATGTTTTGGCATTTGCTTGCGCACTTAGTCATGCAATGGGGTTTTGTTTCTTAACGTGCTGGCAACACTGGTCAATTAACAGTCAAGTCAAATGACAGCAACAGCAACAACAACAACAGCTGACGCCGACATTCTATAGTCAATAGCAATAAGAACATTGCTTGCCAAGTTGCAAAAATAGCTAAAAATGAAAATGAAGCACAAATATATCAATAACTGTAGCCAAGTAAAAGGTGGAAGAACGGGCCTTACGTACGCACACATATCAATGAATACATACATACACAAGACCAATAGGACAATAATAAATGCAAATAAAATGTTGAGCATCTGTTGAAAATAGTAGCTGGTATTTGCCAAGCACTCGACGATTGAGGGGGCATTTTGCAGTGCAGGATATTATTCACTTCAATTCAAGGACATTGGCAATCTCTGCAACTTGCCTTGGGCTGTGGCAGTGTGTGCGGCTGGCGGGCGAAAGCTAAAAACAGCTGTATTTATGTAAAATATGTATAGCTAGCTGTCTATAAGAATGTTCAAAGAAATAAAATGACTGTTTTTTTATTTATTAAATATTAAGAGTTTCAACTGAGAATCCCAAAGAACTCAACTAACCAAGTTCAAACAAATTTCTCTTCTTTCACATCTCATATATTTTTAGCTATAAAAAGGCTAGAGCAACAGCATTGCGGTTGAACTCTGCCTTTTGCGGATGACAACTATTGCCAGAGCTTTGTTTGCAAGCGTACAGAAAAGAGAAATAGCAAAATATATGTATATGTATAAAATGCTTGCTTTATTGGCTTGATTAATGTGTATAATTGATTGAATTTCTATTAATTTGTATAGTAGAAAACGGAATCGACAATTTCTTTGTGCCCAGTCGCGCAGCACGCGACAAGTGGCGCCGACAAATTGCCAAAGCGGGAGATGCAGCTGTTTACGCCCCACATTAAAAAAGTAGAACACACTAGCATATTCAAGTGTATGTACATATGCATATATGTATGTATGTATATTTCACAATTTTTATCTAATCTGGCTAACACAATTTAAATCTGGTGGTAATGTCTGGTGGTGTAATACCCTACGCACATACGTACACACTCGCATTCATAAAACATACATACATATTTAAATCTGATAAGCAGCTCACTTTCCCCCTCGCACTCGTACTCACCTTCGGCCAAGACATCCTCCACGGTGACCGTGACGCGTCCGACAGTGAAGACCTTGCCGACGAAACTGTTAGTCTCCTTGGATGAGGAGCTGTTGTGCGAGTTTTCCAATTTCTCATTTCTGTCGAACTTCGACAGGATTTTCTTCATTTTTATGTTCTATTTTAGTTGCTGTTGTTTACTGCTGCAGCAGCAGCGACGGCGCCGTCAACGTCGACGTCGGCAGGTGAATGTGTGTGTTTTAATCGCGTGGGCGTTCGACAACGATGGGCGTGTGTTGCTTCCCGCTAGCTGTATAATTAACTCGGTTTTTTCTAGTTTAATTAACTTTTGTTGTTGCGTAGTTTTGTAATTTACGCTGCGCTTTTTCGCATTTGCATGGCAGCGATACACATGCACGCACACATACACACACACACACACAGTAGCTCTCGCACACTTTACACACACAGGCACACGCACTCACACTATAGAAAAAGAAAGTTGTTCGATTTTCCTGATTTACACGTACGAATTTTACGACAAGCTATTGCTTCACGAAATCAATGATATTTGGTATTATTTACTATTTATTGAAGTAGCACATTATTGTTTGTCTATATACACAGATCGCGGAATAACTATTTACAATATTTGCAGCACACAAAAAAAGCGAACGAATTTTAGCTGCAATTAAATTGGATTTCACTAACTGTGCAAGGTTGCCAGCCGATAAAACGAATTAGAGCTGTGCAATTGGTGTGACAATCGGGCACGCAATTTTCGTGCTTGCGTGAGTAGATTTCTAGTAGCTTAGGTATATAAGTATTGCAGTTCTTAAAATTTTGCAAAAATATAAATGTGCAAACAGTTTTTATTGCATACAGTATAAACAATATTAAAAACTTATAGAAAATTGCTAATGTCATTCTGGCATTACACCTGCTGTTTAGCGTTGCCACATTGTTTTCAGAACAGCTGTCTAATTTTTACAAAACATTTCCATGCGCAATTGAAATTTGCGCGCAATGATTAATACAGCTAAATATTTTGCTTTGCTGGAAAATTTAAGCTTTAAACATGCTGCAAGTAAGTAAAGCGGGCTTATAATTATGACATAAATCAAAAATTTGATATTTCAGCCGGTGGAAAAGAGTCAAAGGACAGCCCTGGATTGGAAGTTCTTCAAGCTAATTTAAAAATATTGTCGAATTATGTTCAAAAGGATTTAAACGAGCAGATGCAAGAGCTGTGCATAGCGCTACAAGTGGAGCAGGAGAGTGATCAGATAGATTTGAAAAACTGCATCAATTGCTATATTATCCAACTGTTACACGTGTTGCACACGCTGAGTATCAACATAAACTTCCAGAGCGATGCAAAGGAGGATTTAATTTCGGTGGCTCATCTAAAACTTTGCATACGGGCAACGCAGGAGCTCAGCTATTATGCGTTGCGTTCGCAGCTGCATGAGGATTTCTATAAGTCAGCCGTTTTCAAGGATGTTCAGCGTGTCAGCTGCTATCGCACTCTGATTTACCTCAGTGTACAAATGTTCATTCGCCTGCTCGCCATACGTCAGCTGCACATAGCAAATGCTATGGAGCTAGTGCAGCGAGATCTGCTGGCGACCGTAATTAGTCTGCGCGTAGCTCAGCCCAGTCCGGAACAACTTCTGCAACTGAATGCGGCGCTCGCTTATCTATGGCACAATGAATCCAAAGCGGATTACTTTAGACACGTGCTGCTGCTGAAGGCAACTCCAAATCTATCTGCTCCATTGGCCAAAGAGCTCCATCATCAACTGTTGAACAAACTGGGTGCAACGCATGGCTTTGCCAGCCTCTTGGCTGCTCTACAAACACCGAACGCTACGCAAACCGCTGAAGTTGTGGCTCAGATTGTGGCGCAGCGCGGCTTTTCGTTGCGTCTGCAGCAGCGCCTGATTGAGCAGATCTTCGACTTCTGTGCCATGCGGACGAATGGCATAATAGCGGGCGTGCTAAGCCTGCGTCGTCTCTACGAACTGAATGTGGAAAATCGTGAGTTCGTGGAGCGTTTACTCAGCAGCTATTGGCTGCCTTTGACATCTCCCGCTGACTTGCTGAATGGTCTCATTGTCTGGGAGCAGGCGCAGCTGTGCGCGTGTATTCGCCTCTGGGAGCAACTTTTCTGCAGCTCCAGCGTCGCTTGTTTGCCCAGCGTGCTTCTGGTGCCCTTTGTGCCGCTTCTTCTGCAGCTATACAAACACCTCCCACACATTCTAACTAAGCGAAACGCATTGGCTGCCTTAATCTTGCGATGCTTGGATAATAGGGAGTCGAAGCAGGAGCTGCCTGCCGTGCTGCAGCGCCTGTATAGCTTGGACAGGACTGGTTCGCCGCCTTGGCAAGCCTTGCATCCACGTCTGGCTATCAAGCTATCCTCTCAGTCTGGTCTTGTTACAGTGCAAGTGGAGCAAGAACAGGAGGAGGAAAACTATTGTCGAGCCCTGACGGCTCTGCTTAAGGCTGGCAGCGATCACACGTTAACTGCGAAGATTTTTCTGGCTCTGCTTGAGCTGATGCTGCAGCAGCTCCAGGTCACCCAACACACAAGCAATGAGTTGCTCTCCACCGAAACTGAACTGGCCGATTTCCTGCACTCAAAATATCACCTAAAACTGGAGCTCCTCGTGGCTCTGGAGCAGCTCATTTGGCATGAGCCGCTTAAGGCGCAGCTGGTTGCCACTCAGAGTAAAAACTTTATTCAGCTGGTGGCCCAATTGATGGCCATCACAGTGCAGCCTTCGGAGATGGCTGAACAGATGCAGTTGCTCATATTGTTACTGCTGCAGGAGCTGCTCGAGCGCAGCGAGCAAATGCAGCTATCAGAGTCCACTCGCCAGCTACAAGAGCCACTGCAGAAATTGGCAAGTGGAACATCAAATCCTTTGCTGCTGAATGCGCTGCAGCCGCTGCTCGAATTGGTTGGCGGGAAGCAACAGAACCGTTCGACTCCCTCAGCTCCCGCCTCTCTCGCATCCTTTCAGAAAGCACGTGAGCTCATCGAAAACGAGCAGCCGCATCTGCAGGTCTATGGCATACAATTGATGCTGGAGTCTCTGCGTAACAAGGATCCCACTTTTCTATCCCAATCCCATCGCATCATAGCGCTGGCACTGAGCACACTCAAGCAGAAGGAGTCCTACACATTTCTCAATTGCGTCCGTCTGTTTGTGCAGTTGGTGCACATCATGGAGGCCGAGGTGTTGGATCTGCTCAGCGATGAATATCTGTCAGAGACAGCCGATCTTGACTATCGTCTGGTTGTGGGCGAAGCCATACTTAAAGCAGCTCAAGAAATTGGTAAATGATCAAATACCCTTTATAATTAGTTTTAGGTATTTATTGATTTCTAATTGCAGGTCCTCTCTGCTATCGTTATAAGGCCGTCCTCATCAACTGCTTTCTGCACGGCGCTCGCTCGTCGCTGGATGAATTTCGCAGCTCCGCCTATGCGAACCTGGCGCAGCTCTGTCGCCTGCTGACCTACCAGGTGCACAGCTTCTTCCAGGAGCTGCTGCAGCTTATTGACGCCGAGCTCAGCTCTGGGCGCTATTTGCCTGCCAAGCGGGGCGCCTTGCTGGTGCTTGCCGAGCTATTGGCCGGCATGGACAGCCTGTTGAACTACCAGGACATGCTCTTGCCCATCTATCGGCTGCTGCGTGCCATTGAGGCCAACGAAAACTGTGATCCACAAATGCGACAACATGCGGCCAATGGCCTCAAAGTCATAAATGAAAAGTGTCGTGAGCTGCTGAAGAGCGAAGCGCCTGTGCAGCAGCTGCAGAGAGAGATCAAGGTGCTGGGCATTAAGGAGCCCTCAGCGAAATGCAAGCGGCATATACTGGAGCTGAATTAGGGAGAAAGGGATTTGAATATATAATACATATGTTCAAAGGATCTATGGAGCAGCTGTAAGCACACTGTTTAAAGAGATCAAGGACCAAGCTAAGCTATAAGAAATATACAAGAAGTAACTTTTTATAAGTCGTCAAGAATTCCATTTGAAAAGGGTAAGAGAAAGGGAATTCAAAGCCATTTCTATAGCTTATATGTATAGCTTATATGTACAAAAATAAATTTCTTTATATATAAAAATTGACATTTATTTGAAATCAATTTCACATATCTCAACAAATTCAGTGAAAGCTCAATTTGTTATCTGATTAACTCCAATTTCATTCAGAAGATATACAAAATTAGAAAACAAATAAATTAATATTTGAAGCATACAAAATTTACAAATCTCTATTATTTTATATATAATTATTAGTTAACATTTTTTCGAAAATAATTTTACACATTTCAGCAAATTAGCCGCTTTCAGTGAAAGCTCAATTTGTCATCGCGTCAAATAATTGAAATTAATTTGTAAAAAATATACAAAATAACAAAAAAGTAAATAGATATTAAATCTATTCGCAAAATAAAAACAAAGACAATCAACAATGGTAAAAACATTGGGGTGATCGAAAAGAGTTTATGATTTAAAGTGAATGAGCGAGAAATGCACAGAATAAGAAATATTAGCTGGAGTCCAATTGGAACTAGTTGGCCTTGCCAATGGCAAACTCCGTTTCGATCTTGTCGGCGATCATCTTGGCGATGGCTAAGCTGCTCGTTGCGCCTGGCGATGGTGCATTGCGGCAGTGGAGCACCCGCTTGGCCAGCGCTCCGCTGCCCTCGCCGCGATCAAAGACGAAATCATCGACCAGATTGCCGCTCATGTCGAGCGCCTGGGCGCGCACACCCGCCGGCCCACGCTCGATATCGTATTCGGTGATGTCTGGGATGTACTTCTGCAGCGCCTTCACCTGCAGATTGATGAACGCCGACTTGGCCATCTCGCTGAAGCCGAAGCCTATATATTTGCTGGCCATCTTCAGGAAGCCGGGATAGCGCAGCGCATCAAAGAGTTCCAACAGATTGATGTCGCCCCAGCTGTACGTATTAAATTGGATAACGAATGGATTCGACTCTAATCTCTTGTCTACTCACGTATAGCCTTCCCGCTTCATTGCGAGCACCGCATTGGGTCCCAGCCAGATTTTGCCATCCATGCGTGGTGTGAAGTGGACGCCAAGGAAGGGGAAGCGCGGATCCGGCACTGGATATATATTGCCACGCACCATGTGCTGTTTCTCCTTGGACAGAAGCAGATACTCGCCGCGGAAGGGCACGATGCGTGGCGCTCGCGGACAGCCCGTCAGCTCGGCCAGCAGATCGGACTGCAGGCCGCCGCAGGTGAGAACATTCTTGGTGCGCACCTGCCGGCCATCCTTCCCACTGTGTATGGTGACGGGATAGTCGGAACCTTCTTTGGTTTCGGTGAACTTGGTCACATTGAAGTTCAAGTAGATGTCGCCGCCTGCCCTCTTGAAGTCCTCGCCGTAATGCTGGGTGACCAGGCCCCAGTCCACGATGCCCGTGTGGGGACTGTGCAGCGCCTTGAGGCCTTGGCAATATGGTTCGATCTCCTTGATTTGATTGCCGTCGATCATGCGCAGGTCCCGCACCTGGTTCTTGATGCCGCGATCATGCAGATCCTCCAGCAACTTCACCTCCTTCTCATCTGTTGCCACAATCAGCTTGCCGCACTTCTTGTACGGTATCTGATGCTCGTCCAGGTACTTGTAGGCAAGGTTTAGGCCCTCCACGCACAGGCGAGCCTTCAGTGTGCCCGGCTTGTAGTAGATGCCCGCATGGATGACGCCCGAGTTGTGACCGCTCTGATGCATCGCCAACTTGGGCTCCTTTTCCAAAATGGCCAATTTGAGCGTCGGATGACGGAGTAGGATCTCTCGTGCCGAAGCCGCGCCTACTATGCCCCCGCCCACTACTACGAGATCATATTCACTGGAAGGAAACGGAAGATATAAATAAATACTTATGCTTTATTGGAATACATAAGTTTAGTATGTTTTATGTGTGTCTTTTTGCATTTTAATGCATGTCTAATTGAAACGGCAATTAGTACTTCTAATTTACATTAATTAGTCTCCTGGGCAAGTAAAGGGAAATGTTACATTGCATATCCTTCAAAGGGAAATTTAGCAGAGATATGTAGCACAGATATGTAGATAATGCGAAATATCAAATTCAAAATCTCTAATGAAAACTTGTTTAGTATATTATTATTTGTTATATACTTGAAAAGCTATATTATAAATTATTTTGTTTACATATATAAAGGTGTTTTTAATATACAAATAAAAATTAGTCAATATTAGTCCATCAGTTAATTTATCGTTCATAATTAATCAACCAATTTAAATTAAAAATATCTTAGCATCATCGCTGGCAACTCTAAACAAGATACTCCGTGTTAACATCTGATTGGTACATTTATCAATTAGCAGACACATCTAGTTGGTTAAACATGGAACAGCTGATTCGATTCAGTCACGTCTAATTGGTACAAGAACAAATTTTGGGACATTTTTTTACGAGTGGAATTCTTTTAATAAAAATGTCCCACAAAATGTGCCAAATTTTACGCCTACAAATTTTATGATCCGCTTAAACAGCAAAATAATGAATTAATATTAGATTGACTCGCAATGGACGAAAATCTAAAATTAAATTTATCTGTCTCGTCTTTACAAGCAACACGCGTTGGTTGTCGAATTTTCTTATCACTATGCACGCACCCTTTGCCGCCCGTGGCCGACGACATCGACCTATGCTGCCCATCGAGATAGGGCAGCAGCTCTGCAGTGAATGCAGCAGCGCATTTGTATTGCTGCCGCAGATGACCTCTCGACATTTTCAACAGCTGTGACATTTTTTGTTTGTTTTACTTTCACTTTTGTTCTTGCTGAAGACCTTGTTTGACCTTGTCACAAACTATGCGTTCCTCCTCCAGCAACAGTGCCAAAATACTAGAGCAGTGTTACTGAGCGACCGAACAATTTTAACTTAGCAGCATAGCCAGCGGGCAGCAAAGAAGGCGTTAATTGGGAGGTGGGAGATCGCAGAGATCAGCTGTCTGTGATAAGAGGTGAACTAGTACTTTCGTTCCGCGTCTGTGAGCCAAATAGCGTTTACGGCGTCTGTTAACTCATTGTTGCGTGCACTATTCAGCGGTTATGTATTTCTTCAAATCGCAGCCAAATTTTCATTATAGAATTTTAAAATTGTGTATATTATCACATTTTGTCTTAAGGTGCAGGTGGGGATAGAAAATAAAAAAAATGGTTATAATTTTGTAACGGCAGCTAGAACAGCTGTTTAACGTATTTAATTCAGCATCTCAAATGGTTATGTTATTAACAGTGCTGAATGTTATTGGCGTTTTTTGTTTATTATGCACATCTAATATTAAACAAATACAATTTACAACGAAAAAGTGAAAATATTTGAAATTGACAATTGAATTCGAAAAACAAGGAGACAATGCCAAATGCCCGCACACTGTGCAGTTGTTAATTGCAGCGATAAATATGTGCATGCGGGCAGCATATCGTTTCACAGGTAAATTTTCGGTCCACTCAAATTAAGAGCCGTTGAAGATGTTCGTTTTCTCTGTCGCAGATTTCCATTTAAGCGCAAGGATTTGCTGCAGAAATGGAAGGAGTTCACGCAGCGCAGCGGGCAGTGGATGCCCTCCAAATGGAGCGCCATTTGCAGCCGCCACTTCGTGGAGGCCGACTTCAATTGCAGCAACAATCGGAAGACGTTGAAGAAAAATGCTGTGCCAACAGTTCGGTTTCCAGACGATGCATTAAATGTGCTTGTGGAGCAGGTGACGCGGCCTACAGTGGAGACGCAGCAGACACCAGCAACTGGCGGCACGAGAAGCACCTGTCGCTTCTGTGGCATTGCAGCGCTCAATTGCGTGTCGTTTGACAAGAGCTTCGAGCTGTTTGCCATGATCCAAAAGTGCTTTCCCACGCTGCAAATCCTCCAAGATGACACTCTGCCCCTGCCGAAAGAAATCTGTGGCGATTGTTGCCGTCAACTGGAGCGTTTCTCGCAATTTTGCGACGTTGTGATTGTCGCCCAGGGCGAACTGCAGCGCAAGTATCGGCGGCAACTGAAGATTAAGCAGGAGCCGGTGGTACGGGTCAAACAGGAGGCGTGCGAAAGTCTCGACAATCTGTTTCCCGACGAGCTTGACATGGGTTTGGATGAGGGCTGCTGTGACCATGAGCCAGAGACGAACGACGAGACGGAACAAAAGTTTCAGTTCTGCAATTTTCCCATGCTCAATGCCCAGGACATCATCAACAACTGCGACATCATGGAGATTATAAATCTTGACGATCCGTTCATCAACATAACAGACGATGCAGATGTTGTCCAGTCGCAGCCCGGCAATGTTCCAGTGCTGCCGCAAACGGAGCTGCTCAGCGAGGAGCACAACTATGCGAAGGAGGACTGGCAGCTACCGCCACTGCAGCAATACAAAACGGAGAAGGTGGAGGGTGCCGAACCGCAGGAGCTGCCGCCAACGCAGTCGCAATCGCAATCCAGTGCTTCAGCTGAGCCGCGCAGCTGCAAGCCCATTGTGACAAATGTCAGCCAGATACCCAATCCGCTGATCTGTGAACTGATGCCACCGCCCCCGCCACCACCAGTGGCCAGCACCAAGCCCAACATTGTGGTGCTCAACGACAGTGTGGTGCAGTCCTCTGCCTTTCGTCTGCACAATTGCACCTTCTGCACCACAAAGTTCTTCACAGCTGAGAGCCTGCAGCAGCATTATGCCCTGGCACATGCCACGCCTGCGCCTGCGCCTGCGCCCGCGCCCGCGCTTCCGATCGCTTCAGCTCCAGCGCCCACGGCCACATCTACATCCATGCCCATGGTCAGCGTGCCGCCGCCCAATCTCAATCAGACAGCTCACAGTTCTCTCAAGCTGGAGGGTCACCCAGCTGCGGCGGGAACTGGTCTGCCCTTGGCCGCCCCCGTTGACTACTGGCAAGCGGATTGGCTGCCACCGCAGCTGCCAGCCAAGAAGAAGATCGATATCCTGGACATGCAGCGCAGTTTCCTGCAGTACAATGATCTGATAGCCGAGCCGGCAATCAGTGCACCGCAGTCCCAGAACTATGCGTACGCCAAGCTGGCCGCACGGTTTAGACGGCTGCAGCACACGTGTCGCCAGCTGCGCACGAATCAAAAATCTTTGGCCAACTCGCGAGCCAATCCTCGCCTGCGCTGCGCCCGCTGTGAGCGTCGTTTTGCCAGCGTGCAGCAGCTGCTGGGCCACAAGCGACGCAAGCGTCATTTTGGGCTGCCACCGAAGCGCACCTTTGCCGTCAAGTGCTTTGGCTGCCTGCGGCTGTTCTGCTCGCGGCTAGGTCTGCGGCAGCACATGCGCTACATCTGCCAGTCGCTGCCGTTGCGCAATGCCCAGCTGCAGAGCTACAAGTGCCGGCACTGCCAGAGCATTAACTTCACCCACTGGCGTTTCTACAGGCGGCACGAGCTCAAGTGCCGCCAGCGGCTGCTACCGAAGCGACCGACCAAGCGACGCTGTCGTCCAGCTGGCACCGCTGGTCCGGCCGGCCATACGAAACGAACTGTACACAGCTGCAGCGTCTGCCAGAAGACGTTCAGCTCGCTGACCGGACTGAAGCAGCATCGCATCACCCACAGCTCGGAGCGGAGATACAAGTGCAGCATCTGTGAGCGCGTGTTCAAGCGGCGCAACGGACTCTCCCAGCACATCAAGGGCTATCATCTGCAAATGAAGCCGCACCAGTGTCCCGTCTGCCAGCATCGCTACGCGCTCAAATGCGACATGCTGCGCTGTCGCCACTCCCAGCGACGCGGCGCCGCCCTCAGTGAACTTGAGCCAGCGAAGACGTAACGAATTGGGGATGCTCTATTGAAGACCTAACTTCATCTGTAAAATGTTTAACTATACTTAATTTACAGTATTAATAGTATGTCTCTATGCTGAATCCAAAACAGGACACTTAGGATTGAGTAGATTCTTTACAAATTTTTTCTCTATGCTAGATCTTTAAAAGTAATAACAAATGTTAAATATATTTGCTATAGTTTTTATAAAATATTAAATGTGCTTTAATTATAAAAGATTATTTAAGTAATTATACAAGATTATTTAATGCGAAAATAAATAATTAATTACTGTACTTATACATAAATAATTATACTTAAATAATAATGAAAATTTATATGATAATGATCATAATTAATGATAAGACAAAAATTGTTATAATAATGACAATTTCTGACAATATATATTGATTATATTTATTGGCATCTTCAGTTCAATGATTATAAATATTTCTTCATAATTATCATCAATTCTTATTTGCATTCTCATTATTTTTGGCATTTTTATTCGACTCTTCTCTTAAACTGGAGTTTCTAGTTCGTTATTATCAAGGTCATTATTATTATAGACATTGCTATCGACTTACCAGAAGGATTATGCTAATGATTATGTTAGCAATTAAGAAAATCTGCATGCTTCTTTCAGCTGCTCTTTAATTTTCTCGCATAATAAAAAGACAATTTATTAAATTTTCGCATTAGTTTTATTTGCACTATATACATTAATTCATATTTAGATATAGTAATTGCCGTTATTTTCGTATTCTCGTATTTTCATGTTTGTATATGTAGTATGTTTATATGTAAAATGTATTTTAATATTGCTTGAACGGCTTGCATGAAAATACTGAAATATTTAACCTAATTTATAAATGAATCAAGAGACGTATATGAAAATTACGAAATGCAAAACATATTATGTACAACAAAGTTTTGAAAGTTAAATAAATTGCTTGTTTTTTGTTCTTATATATTTTGTAATTTTGTTATTTTTTTTTTAAATTTCAATTTAATTTTTAACATAAATCATGAGATTAGTAACAAAACGCCAAAACAAATTTATAAAAAAAATGGCACCAACAACAAAAAAGATTAAAATTTTATACAGAAAGATTTAAAAAATGTAACAAAACGGAACAGAAAATTAAAAAAAAGAAATCCTTAAAACTAAACAGGAAATTAATATATAAATTTAAATTTTCATTTCACTTAAACACAATTAAAATTTATGATTTTGGTATGCTCGTTAACTATATGTAAGTGTGGGAGACATATATGTATGTATGTATATAACCATATATATCTATATAGTGAGTTATATGTGAATGATTAGTTTATACTACGATGTGATGTGATATCAAAAAACTTCTGCTCCGCGCTGACACGTCCCTAAATTGTTTGCATTTGTTTAACCTACGCCACAAGGATTACGTGCTAGACTACGAATTATATAGTTTATGTATAATATATATATATATATTTATATTTTCATGTAGAAATCGTTTCGATTGCCGCTCTACTGAAAGATGGCTGCACGCTGCTGGAATTGCTGGCGTCGCTGGGCACGCTCTTCCTCCTCGCGGCGTCTCTCCTCCTGCTCTTGCCTGATCTCGTCGTGGAATTTATTTGTGCGCAGCTGTTGCTCGATCTTCGCCTCAAAGAAGTTCTTGGCGCCGCTGACGCCCACTTGCTCCACATCGATTTCGGTGAGGCGCGCCAATTGATTCAGGCCCGATTCACTGTCCAGCTCGCCGGCCTGCGCCTTGCGATAGATCAGCAAGAACTCACGGAACGAGATCTTTCCATCGTGGTCCTCATCCACCTCAGCAATCATCTTCTTCAATCCCAAATGCGTTTGCGGTGCGCCCAGTTTCTCCATCATATACTTTAGCTCATTCAGATCCAAGAAACCATCCCTAGCAGTATCATAGCTGTAAAAGAAAAGAAACAAATTTTATTATATATATGCACATAAGTATATATATATATCTATATCTATATATTTCGCTTTGCTTTAGGACAAGGACGTTAACTGCTATTTCAATCCGCCCACCTGCTAATCGATAAGACGTGAAGGTAACCCAATTTCATGCTAAATTTGCAGCTCACTCGAGGCTTAAATTTCGCTTTACGTTTCGTTTTGTGCCTGGGATGACACTGCATTGAAATTTGAGCACAGTAAGTGTGAAAGTATGAGAAGAGAG